ATCCCCAGGGTGTGTGTGTGTGTGTGTGTGTGTGTGTGTGTGTGTGTGTTGTTATCTTAATGGACATTTTTTTTTTTGTCCAGAGAGTGTTGCAAAATTCTCGAAACATAGTGACAACTTGCTTTTTGCTAAAACTCACCGTGCTGTAGGACAAAAATGCAGCCACAAAACATCAGTGGTTCCAAACAAGACCTACATGTCCCCGTCTGTCCTGCCACTTCACTCTTCTGCTCTTCTAGCTCTGTCTGCTCTCTCCACCATACATGAGTAGTATATTTCTGTCCCCATAGTTGGGAAAGAACTCACGCTGTGGTTATCATTGTATTAAATGTTCATGTGCCCTAATGGTTCTGACTTCTGCTTGAGTTTTTGACTCCTCCCCTATGTTACACAGCGCCGTCTAGTGGCCAGAATCTTGGGAGCTGCAGTAGATTCAAGTTCATAGCTCTGCTCTTCATTGGCCCGCTCTGTGATCTTAGGAAAGTCACATAGCCTCTCTGAGCTCCCAGTATTTCATTCACAAAATAGAGATAATAACGGATCCTCTCTAATCGATTCATTATGAGATAATTCATATAAAGCTCTTAGCGCCAGACCTAGCACAAAGAAGCATTCAGCATGCTACCTATCTTTATCTTTTATGTCATATTCTTCCCTTGTCTAGGAAAAAGGAGGCCAGAGTGGACCTATACTAGTTTAGGTAATTCAGCCTCATCTTTTGGATTATTTTGATGTAGATGAATAATTGATAGAGTGTAGACGGTTCTTCACTTTCAGAGGGGAGGCTGAATATGTTTGTTGCCTTATTTTTTCTTTCCTTGTCCACATTTTTTGCAGCCATAGCTCCATTTATTTGGTTAAGAACCTTTTAATAAATGTGAAGCGTATTTATTTGTTTAAGAACTGGGTTCAGGAACCCAGGTCTAAGATACGCTGGAATCCTCAAATCCCTTGGCAAGTTCAGATTATCCTACAAGGGTTATTTACAGAGAATTAACAACTGTATAAACCTCCAAAATAGCATACATTACCTACTTAGGTAAATACTCTGTATTTTCAGACTCCTTGGTTTTGCTGTGATAATTTGCAGAAGCTTTTTTTTTTTCTTTAATTTACTTTATTTACTATAGATTTTGATTTTTCAACTGTCAAGAAAAAAAATTTACACTACTTCTTAGCAAATCAAAGGAAAGGGTGGTAGGAGCCCTCATCTTGGGAAGTTATTTTCCTGGGTTTAGGGGTTTCAATGAACTTCTCACTGAACTTCTCTGACCTGAGTCTGCAGTCAGGGGTGTTGTTATGGAGGTCTTCATATTAAGGAGGAAGAGGGCTCCTTCAAGGAATAGGTTGCCTGAGAAGAAGCTGGAAAGTTGGAAAAAGGTCTTCGTGATACTTGATATTATTTAATAGTGCACTTTTCTTTTTTAACTTTGCTGAGGACGCTAAGTGATTATCCTTTTTGCCACTTACCCCCCAGTGAGATTTTGAAGTGCATGAAATAGCTGTTTTTATAGGTCAAATCTAGACGAATGGTGGCAATTTTACATGATTCAGTCTTATATTTATCTTTGGAGGGTTATTGTTCTATTTTATGCCTCTTTTATACCCAGCTTCTTTGCTTCATTTACCTGCCTCTCTTGCTCACCTTGGGGATTGTCATCCTCTGGCTGTGTGTGTGTGTGTGTGTGTGTGTGTGTGTGTGTGTGTNTGGGTTTGTTTAGGGGACAAAAAGGTGTCAGACCTAGCAGTGGTTTTCCCAGGTTCCCTGAACTGGCTGTCAGCGCGAGAATCACTTAAAAAAAAAAAAAAAAAAAAAAAAAAAGAAAGGTGACAGTCACTGACGGTAGTGGTGGTGGTGGGTGGTGGTGCAAATCATGTCAGACGAACTGAGAGTGGGATGGGAGGGGGGAAACCCTTCTGGCTCAGAAACTAGGGCCCTTCCATTCTCCCAAACGTTCGAGTTTCAGCCGCTCTGAAATAGCCCTGAGAGTGTTGCAAGCCAGGTAGGCACCCTGGAGGAGGAGGCAGGTGTCTGGACAGAGCTGGAGCCGGGGCGCGGGGGCGGAAGGGGGGAAGGCTGGGCGGGGAACTCGGTGACTCACGTCGGCCCTGTCCGCAGGTCGACCATGGTGGCCGGGACCCGCTGTCTTCTAGCGTTGCTGCTTCCCCAGGTCCTCCTGGGCGGCGCGGCCGGCCTCATTCCGGAGCTGGGCCGGAGGAAGTTCGCAGCGTCAACTGGCCGCTCCTCATCCCAGCCCTCGGACGACGTCCTGAGCGAGTTCGAGTTGCGGCTGCTCAGCATGTTCGGCCTGAAGCAGAGACCCACCCCCAGCAGGGACGCCGTGGTGCCCCCCTATATGCTGGACCTGTACCGCCGGCACTCGGGCCAGCCGGGCGCGCCGGCCCCGGACCACCGGCTGGAGAGGGCAGCCAGCCTCGCCAACACCGTACGCAGCTTCCACCACGAAGGTGAGGTGTGGAACAAGGGAGTGGGGGCGGGGACGGGGGCGGGGAGTCATCCCGCAAAGCGCCCCACCGTGGGCGACAAGACAGCAGGCATCCCTGGAAGGGCAGCTTGGCCAGGGTGCGGAAGCCGTTTCCAGCCTTGCCTCCGTTGAGAACCTTTAGGAACCTGGCTTTCGTGCACGGCTTGTGTGGCGGGGGAGCCAGGGATTCCCCATCGGTAAATCTGCACCCTTTTCCTGGCTTGCAGCCAGAAGAGCGACTCCTCCTCCAGGAACTGGAGAGAAATCAAGTGATGGGGAAGATGAGGGCAAAAGGCATGCCCCCTAGTCAGCTAAACGTGCAAGAATTCCACAGGGGAAGAAGAGAAGGAGGGGGGGCCCACTGGGATCTCTTCACGTCTGTTTGGAAGCCCTCACCCTATAAATCTGCTTCTCCGGGTTAAGCCAGCGTTTCAGGCTAGACAGAGCCAAGGGCAGAATTTTCAGAGATTGTATTGAAAAATCAAAGCCCAGGGCCCCGAAGTCTTTCTAATTTACAGTTGATCTGGGCCTGGTTTGGAAAAGTTCGAATCCCTATATAATTCCCGTGGGAGATCAATTCCACAATCAATCTTATTGTTTCCACAATGACTTTATTGTGTTGTGCTTAAATCTGAGATGAACTCCGGAATAGAGACAAGGGATGCCTCAGATAAAAGCTTTTGCAGCAGCTGCCTGTTTTCCTTCATGTGCATTGAAATGTGGATTTTTTTTTTCTTTTATGATACTGGATGTGGTTTTTCTAAGGTAGGATATTCTGCTTGTTTCATCAGAAAGGCATTTAGTGGATTCGAAATGTCTTAGAGCAGCTATTGAGAACTGTTGTACCCAGGTTCTTAGAGCAATTAGTCAAAGATATGTTCCTCTTTAATTCTGTTTCTACAGTTTTAAATGCCCCTCTGGCTTAATGTGTTGTAAACAGAGCATGGGTTCCTTCAAGTTCTACAGCAGGGTACAAAGTTGAGTGTCACAGGGCCACCACTGTAGGATATTGGGGAGTTGGGAGTGAAGTTTCCCTCTTCTTGCCTTGCCCTGCTGAGGTGGTCAATTTCAAGTGGAATCTACATGCTGATATGTAGAAATGTTTTCATCATAACCTTGGAATAATGATAGAGCCAGCTCATCATTTTCAGCTGATATTATGAGAATACTTTTTCTGGATAGAAAAGTAACAAGAACGGCTCTTTTAGCCACCTCTGTTGGAAATTTAGCATGGAAACCATTCTTTACTTTTAAGGCCAGGAAGGTATTGTCTTCCTGCGTCTCTTATAACTTAAAAGGAAGATCATGCAAATCATTTGATCATGTAAAACATTCAGTTGCATGAGGAGTCCATCAGTGAAGTCCGCATATTTCTTCCTCTAGAAGTGGGCTTGATCAAAACTGAACAGGCTGCAAATGATTTGAGTGTGTTATTGTAGTTTAAATAGCATGCTTGAGTTTATAAGTCAGAATTTATACCTTTAAAAGTGTAAATGTTAGGTGTGATGTAGTACAGAAGTTACCAACTTGCTTAAAATCAACTTTCAGTAACTTCAGATCTTAATGTAATTAGATAGAGAAAAGCTGTGTAATGTTTGCACCAAATTTCACCAAATCCATTTATTTTCTTGTTTTGACTAGTATATCACCCTTAAGCCACTATTTGAAGACCATTTCGTTTTTTGTGTAACCCAGAATTTGGTTTTCATAAACATCCATGTGCCATGTATGGCACTAAAAATCTTGTAATAAACCATGTGATTAAGGCTGCTGGCTTAAGAGCAAAATTTGGTTAATACAGTATTAACGGGCATTGATCTGGTAAAGGACCAAAGGACCCGATTCCAAGAATTACCTGTTGGTATTATTTGTCGGTGGGATATGGATGATTTGGTGAAATCACGAGATGACATGATAAGAGTTCTTTCAACTAAAGTGTGAAGATAATGGTACCACATGGTATGCAAACCGAGACAAAATTATCAGTTGTCATTTCCCCTCTTAAGCTTTGTCTTGTCCTTTCTGCAATGGCTTTTATTTGGGAAAAACCAAGTGCTGAAAACATTTTCTTTTTTCAAAGTCATTAAGGAGTGCTTCGGCCACATAGGCCTTTCAGAACTGTCATTGAGGATCGAAAAATTAACTTCTCTATTGGAAAGAGTGTTTTCCACTTTGCTGTAGTGAAAAACACATTGAAATTGGCTGACTTCATTGGTCATACCAAAAAAAAAAAAAGTCTTTACACTTTCCTGTCAGGTTGGAATATAGAAGGACTACGTTGTTTTGCTTTCCGGATTCTGAAAGACACTGTCTTCTTTTTGCATGAAATAACTGAATTACTTGCCTCTATGACAGAGGTTTTGAAATAGAAATTAACCTTGTTCCCACAAATGTAGTTCTTGTGAAAATATCCATACAACAGGAACGTTCAAGAAACAACCACTGCTCTGTGAAGAACTGTATCACAAATTCCCAGTGCAACCAAAGGATTTGGACACTATACGCCACCGAAACCAATACCACCTGGTGTGCTCTCCTAGTGTCCCCAGGGATTTCAGTGTGATCACAAAAGGCAGCCTTAAGTAGAACAGACATTTTATTTGGAAGCGCTCATAGAGATTGAGGCTTTGGTGCCCAATGATAGGTCTTCCATACCTCTTTTTTCAGTGGCTTCTCTGTATTCTCTCTGGATTCTTCTTGAGCTGTTTTGTCTTTTTTAAGACTTATCCTTTGTGTATTTTACTGAGTAGTCAAATGGCAATGAGAGGGCACTCAATCATTCCAAAGATTTTGGAGCAAAGGGTGGGCAGAGGCCAAATCAGGGTTAGTCATTGTGGCCATTATGACCATGCTGCCATCTCCTTTGCCTTTGTTTTTTGCTTTTTGGGTTTTTTTAAAATTTAGACTGGTTTCTTTTAACTTTTGTATTTTATCCTTTTTCTTCTTGACATATCAATCCAATAACCATTATTGTATATTCTAAAAAGTATTTTTTATTCTCAGCCATTTTCATTTCATATCAGGGCAGTAATTTCCAGCCTTACTGATTTGCTAGAACATCCCCAGGGTTTGTGTGTGTGTGTGTGTGTGTGTGTGTGTGTGTGT